CGGGTTCGAATCCGGGAAGCGACCAAAAAATGTTCTTCTCTAAAATTGTCTCCTTTCACCTCCTTTCCTGCTCTCTAGCAATGTTCTGTTGTCTGCTTTCGTTTCCACTTTATACCTCCACCCTCTCACCTCCTTTGCCCCCTCCTCTGGGCTCCTGACTCTTTCTGCAGCCTTTCGACTTCTACCCCATGTCTCCTCCTTACTGCTGTCTGTCTGCCACGCCCCTGATCTTCTGGTAGGAAAGATCTACACCTAGTCTTCTCGGACAAGGGCGAAAAATGTCGGAGGGCCCGTGTGCAAGTTGCGCACGTTAAAGATCCCTTGGTGGTTTAAAATCGATAAGAGTAGGCTTTGGCCGCCACCTGGGCAAAATTCAAAATTTTCTTCCAACTGAAAATATTAGGTGTGTCCCGCGCGCTCATATGACCGTATGAAGTTGCGAGCGCCATAAAACACTTACCAAAAAAAAAAAATGAGAATGCAACATAGTGAATTGTTGACATTGGGGTTGCGTGATTGTACTTGTATAGCTTGTTCTTTCTTACTCATATTGACGGCCAATAACTTGTATTACAAAAAGCATGCCCCAAGGGATTGGTCACACATGTGTCGTTACATAAAAAATAAAAGTCATCACTGGGTACAGCCTGTACAACATGTATTAACAGAGACCATTATGAGAGAAGAAATGTTGGTGGCGTCGGTGGCCTAGTGGTTACTTGACTCGTAATCGTGGGGTTGCACTTGCAGGCTCTGGTGCGGTTTGCTTCTTTTCTATCAAACATCTATCGTCTTTATCCCTCCTCCTTCTTTTTTGTGTTTGTTACTCTCCTGTAACGCCTCTATTCTTCGGCACTTATATGACCTTATTGTGTTGCAAGTGCCGTAAAACTCTTACTAAAACTTTAAAAAAGACAATACCATGATTGCGTCTTTTTTTCCCCTTGTTCCAATTTCAGATTCACCCTTGTGGAGAGCATTCCAGAAAATCTTACCTACACTGCATCAGCTCCCATTTTGCTCTCAACCTACGAAGCACACCTAAGAATTCTTCGAAATGCAAAATCATCTATCCACCTCTCTACATTCTACTGGACCCTCCTGGGCAATGATACTGACTTCCATGACTACAGTTCCTATAAGGTAACTATGCGATTTTCAGATGTAAAGCCAGCGTTTTTTATTTTTAGAGTTTTTTAAGTTTACTTTATCTCTTTAAAATTGTATGGTCGTAAAAGACCCTCGCTGAAAATCATAGGGCTCCTGCTGACATGAGGGAAATGTTACAAGACAAAGTAAATAAAAACTAGGTTTTTGTGTTTAAAAAAAAGTATTTTTTATGTACTGCCTATTGTGATGATGTGCATACAGGGATTTAATTTCATTGATAGAAATTACTGCTGTTTTGTAGGTGAATGCAGTGGCATACCGTTTATGTTTTAAAGCTCACCACAAATGTAGCAGGTCAAGTGAATCTGTTATCTAAAATAAACTACAAAAATATTATCTCAACTGATTAAATGGCTAAGGGTGTGAAGTGTTCCTCTCAGTGCATCAGATGAGTGGAACAGTGTCTGCAGATCCTGATTAATGCTGATAAAAGTTTTTGTCCTATTGAAGAGTGACCTACGTGGGATCTCGTTAAAAAATAATACGTTTTTTACCAGCTAGATAATCATATTCACTACAGGTTTAACTTAAGGTGTTGTATTGTAATGGTTATAGTTATAATAACTTTAAATCCCTGAGCTCCCTTGATATGATTTAGATCCTTTCTGAGGTGAGATTTTTTCGTCCTCCCTGTCAAGGCTGTCTCTGGCTGATTCTGATACAGCATCCGAATGGAAAGATGGATTAAATATACTTCCCCATCCTGGAATCGAACCTCTTTCTTTTGTGTTCCACAAAAATAAAGCGAAGCATCAAAATAGCTAAGAAGAACTCTAATAAAGTGAGGCCAACCCTGAAAAATAGAAACACCCTAATGACTGCTAAAATAAGGGTTCTAAAAGGCCATGTGAGGTCAATGCTTCTATGTCTGTGAATGCTGGACAATTACCAAATATGGTAACAAAAAATTTGAAAAATGAAAAAATTAAATAAAAGAAGGAAATCTGAACTTTTTTTTTTTTGACTTGAGAATTTTGAGGAAGAAAAAGAAATCAAATGAGGAAGTCCTGAGAGAAGCCCCCAAAAACTGAGAATGGTTGAATCAACAAAAAGGCTTTGAACATCTTGCTCTCACTGAAAAATCCGAAGGCAAACAAGGCAGGGAACAATTTATTTGGAAGACCTGAACAGATGGATGATGGGGAAACACCAGGATAATTAGGCATGGCAGGATGAAAGCACTTGTGGATGAGCAGAGCTTTCTGGCTTCTCTCTTGGTTTCAGCATTTCTTATTCATGAAGCCTCATATAAGTACACTTCTTTATTTTTTACAATTAATGAAACTGCTCATTAGTACTCTGCATTCCTTTTCAATAATATCTTTTTCCTTGACTAGGGGGAAAGCATCTTCAACAGTATCAATGCAATTGCTAAGGCGGGCAATGTAACAGTGATGCTGGCACAGAACAACTCCAATGCTGACACTGACATTTTGAGTAAAAGTAAGTTCTGTGGTTTTCTTTGCCGGGGGTAAGTACATGGCTTTTCAAAAATCATGTGGCTTTCTTGCGCAAGTTGTTTTCTACTTCGTTGAAGTAGTGAGAATTTATTTTGTGTTAGAAGAACAGAATTTGTAAATCTTCATTTTCTTGTTTAACATTTTGCCGTCACATCTCACCGATCGGTGATGTTTATCACCCAGTGTCTTTGGATTTTCCCCAAAATGCCTTTGCCTTTGATGGCAAGGGTTTTTACTATATGAGCCTTGTGATGGCAAAGTGTTAATCGACTTATAAAACAGGCAAAAGAAAATGGTTTTAAAAATCCCAGATCTTGATTTTTTATTCACTTCTACTGCATAAGTGGTTTTGAGTTGAGGGGGTTTAGTACACAGTATTGAGCACTCTGCCGACTTTTAAAAATTTGTCAATGGTGTTGGCGGGTGCTCTTGTGTGGTTTGCGCTTTCTTCACTTTCAAATATCTGTCATCTTCATCTCTCCTCTTTTTCTTTATTAAATACGTTACTCTCTAGTGGTGCTTTTATATAGTGACTTATATAACTGTAACTAAAACTAAACTGGAGGCTTTTTAGGATTTCAAGAATAAACAACAAAATCCTTGCAAAGCAATAGCCTTTTTGTTCATGTAAAATTCCATGATATCTTACCTAAGAGGGGTGTAAAGTAGTTTGTAGTTTTGAGTTATACAAAGGTCACTGTGAATGACTGTATCACTGTTCAAGTTTTTGCTCATATTGTCACTGGTTTGAGAGAGTCAACAACAGTGGTACAAGTAGGTCTAACAACAGTTAGGGTGGAGCATACGACAGAGCACCCGTGTCAATAGTGTCATGAAACTGTCAGATGAACTCGCTCATCAATGAACAGTTCTCTATATTAGGCTGTTTTGTTTTTAGGACTGATATTGACCTTCATAACATCTTAGAGGTATTGCAATATAAAAGACCAAAAAAGTGGTCACTTAATCGGGTGGTTAGTGGTTGCCTTTTATGGTTAATTCCCATGTCAGAGATATTTGTTAATAAACATATACAGTAGAACCTGCTCTGACACTAACGACCACGTGTGCAAAACATTGCCTGTACAAACTACCATTTCTCACTACCCCCCACCTGACTATTACATGTATGACCACTTTTCTTCTCACAGTTGCAAAAAAAAAGAAAATACAACAATGCATCATGTGACCCTAATAAAAGAAATGAGGTAAAAAAAAAATTACAAGAGTTACTGAATTTCTTGCATCAGTGACGATATATTACAGCTGTATTCCTAGGAGTCAAATGTTTCCCCCCCTTACAGACTGCAAAGTTGTTTTTTATTCATTTTTAGAATGCATGTGTTTACAACAAAAAATGCTAAAAATATTCTATCTC